CAATAGCCCAAAATCACATTTGAATCCTCTAGCATATCATGAACACATTTGAATTCTAAAACTTAGGCTCAATAGCCCAAAATCAAAAATTTTCTCAATTGAGATTTCATGCATTTCTCAAAAATTGCCCAACTTGTGCAACCCATAACTTGCTCAATTTTTATTATTTGAATGTGATCTGGTACTTTTTGGAAAGCTCCAGATGTCCTCTTCAACTTATCTTTTGATCATTTTTGCATTTGGAGATTTATCATGATGTAAGTTGCCTTGACAAAAAGTGTCTTTTTGTTGACTTTTGAAATGACCTATAATGTATGGGCTCATATCTTTCAAATGAAACACTTTTTGGACTTTAGCATACATATACAAAGTTGTAGAGAATTGAATTTCCTTAAAAATGGGCTTTGGTTGGGGAAAGTTTATGAAGCATGTGAAAGTTATGCTTGGTCAAAGTTCAGTTGACTTCTCCTAAGGGAACCCTAATTTGGCAACTTTTGACCTTTGGTGATTTGAGGGCTTTCCTTAAGGAATCATGATCAACCCTTGATCAAATGATGAATATAAATTCAAAATGTTGATGTTGACCAAAAATCTTAAGGTTTGATTGTAAGTTGACCATAGTTGACTTTTTACCCAATATAGTTAACTTTCAATCATCTGAGCCATTGATTGAGCAAACTTGTGATGTAAGACTTGAAAATTAACATGAGCACTATTAAAGACCTATGATGAACCATGAAAATCATTTGAGACTTTGAAACCCAAACTTCCTTGAAAAATACAAAACCCTAGTTGTGGACTCATTGCTTAAGAGAAGAGTTTGTCTGATCAATTCTTGAGAATCCTTGAGCATTTGAGAATCCTAGAAGAATGTCTTGAAGAAAATGGGAGAGCAAATTTTTGGGTACAACACTACCCCCCGAAATCAAAATCAAAAAAGGTCTTTCCTGTTCTTTTCACTCTTTTCTTATTGGATAAAAGAAAAGTCGGTGGCGACTCTCGCTATCCGCATATTTGCGATAAAATGGAAAACCAAGTCAGTTCTCCCACCATATTATAGTATCAAACTTTTAACCAATTAGTATGAACAACCTTAAGGAAATATAGCTTGATTCACAAGCCTCAAAGAAATTCTTAGACGAAGGACCCATCCCTAATTCCATTAATCCTGATGAATGTTGATGGAAAGATCATCTTATAAGTTAAGGAGAATCCAAAAACTAATTCCCTTCCATGCTCAAACAGAAACCACACTTAAATCAAGCTCAATTACTACACCCAACTCAAACCATACAGAAAACTATAATCTTTTGACAAATATAGGGAAATAAACCCTAATCCAAGACCTTGGTGGATTTGGAGAAGAATAACCACGTAGCTTGATATTCAGAAGAATAGAATAGCCTTGTATCTTGGTGAAGAAAATATCCTCAATAACCATACCTCACAACCCTAATTCCATACTTCACTTCTTGAAGAAGAACCAAAAGAGTTAGAAGAATCAGGCTTTATTGAATATATACACCGCAACCATTGTGAAACCCCAATATTGCACAACCACTGAACTTTTGAACCATGGTACTTTATTGAATGAAATGCATGATACTCAAATGAGCTAATAAAGATATGCAGATGAAATGAAAATCCTAAGCCATATAAAAGAGAAATCAGGAAGGCAAATTTTAGGGGGCAACAGGTGCCATCTAGATGAGGTTTGATAACGTCCAATTAAGTTATTGTGTAGCTAAGAATATTGGGTTGAGATTTGCAAGGGTCTTCATCCGGAAAAACCGCGGCTTTGTCCTTCAAGATCATTGGTTGATTTGGGGGTTTTCATGCAAGACGTTCAAGAGAGGATTGTGCCCTAATGAAAGCCTTTGGAGATAAAGAATACAAAGGATCTTTTGAAGATAAAGAACACAAAGGAAGTAGTGTAAGAACAAAGAATCGAATTAAAGCCTTGTGTTGAAATAGGTACAATTGATGGTACGCAAAAGCTTTAGAGATAAAGTACGCAAAGGAGTAGCAAGATCCGAATAATCAATTGGTAGCTATTGTGTCTTGGTCTTGTTGAAGATCAAAGGTAGAGAAAGGATTGAGTCAAAATCAAACAATTGTGTTTGTAGGGTTGCTCTTAGAACACTTCTCTTGTAATCATACTTTTTGCAAAGTAAGAAAGTATCTTAATTCCACATTAGAATTGGGCACAGATGTACCCACACGCGAGGAAGAAAGTGGGGAACCGTGCAATTAAATCCTTGTGTCTCTTTTCTTTTATCATCTTACTTACTTTAATTTTCATATATCAATTTGTCAAATAGCATTGAGTAATCGATCGACTCATAGGAATTTTTAGGGAAGTTTTTATTTTGAATTAGGTGTTGATTTGCTTATAATCACTTTTTATTATAAGTTCTTTTTAATATCAACACAACTCAAAGGAGAATTATGAAAAATTCGATTGCACACCAAGTGTTCGGAAACATTTTTGATCAATTGACTCATAAATTTTTTTCTATAATTGTTTTGTTTAAAGTGGTGTATTGATTAGCTTATAATCACTTTGATTATAAGTGATTTTCATATCAACACAACTCAAAGGAAAAATTCTGAAAAGTCGAACGTACACCAAGTGTTTGACAAATTGCAATGTTCTATATTTTTGTTTAAATTTTATTGGAAATAGGAAACAATTGTGTTTGATGTTAAACTATTAATTGAGATATTATTATGTTGATTGATTTTATTATTATCTTAATTCCATATGGCTTATGCATATCCGAGTTTCCAATAACTAGTTTCGTTTAGACTACTATTTTGATCTAGGCCAAAAACCTTCCACTCAACATTGTTTTTGAAATAAGTTTTTTTAAATAACAATTTTGAAAGGTGAATTTTAATTTGGGGATATATTCACTCCCCTTCTAGATAAGTCTCTGTAGTCTAACATATGGTGTTTCCATAGTTTGGAAATCCAGGAAGAAAAGGAAGAAGTCTTTTCTCCAGGTCACTTTGGTAGTGTTGTATGGAAGCTTACAAATGTAGTCATAGTTTATGTGTTCTTCAGACAAATCAAGGTTCAAAGGACCGATATGATTGAGTAAGGTTGTTGTAGAACGGAGGCTTGACAAGGGCTTATATCTAGAAGAGATAAGTCGAGGTCAGATGAATCTTGTAAGATTGTCGAAGAAGACGTCATCTACAACAAGAGAGGATTAAGATAAGAAGACTAGTTATTTTCAGGTGTATCTTGTATCAATTGAGTTTATAATTTCTATAAACACGTGTCATATTATTTTATAGTTGAAGAAAAAAATTCAATGGGAAACCATTGAAGAGTGAATTTATCTCTTGCGATGACGATAGAGTTGAATCATTATATATCCGGTGTAATCTTCTTCTTCCCTCTCTCTCTCTTTAATTTTCTGCATAGTTTTGCATGCTTACGTTTGTATTACTTTCATGAAACAACATGATATTAGGACTTATCTGCTTATAGAGATTTTGTGATTAAAGATTAAGTTTGTGATAGATCTAGTCATTTGAATATTCTCTCTTGCGATTATTGTTGTATGAACTCTTTTTGTTAGATTGATCATTCAATTAATCAAATTCAATTTGAGCCTTCTGTGATAATTGAATTATGAGAATTATTGAATTGATTGTTTAAGCAAATTTATATTTCTCAATTGTTTTGATTATTAATAATTTGAGTTAACTTCAATATCCATTTAATCATATATTTTATAAACTTATCGCTATCTTTTGCTTCTAATTGTAATTTGTTTTCATGATATCAACAATTGACCTCAGAGCTTGTAACGTGTGTATCTGTAGATAAAACTATGATTTTATAAAAAGAAATATTTTTAAAATTGATTTTAGAAAAAAGTTCTATTAACCTCCCTTAAATTGTTTTGATCCCCATATATTCCACTAACAAGGACGACATGGTCTCTTTAGTTTAAAAGTCTAAAGGTACTCGGAGAAATAAACTCTTTCTTGATGAAAATGTGGCTCAAGATATATGTATTATAGTGTTGTAAAATAATTGTTTCGGCTATTACAAATTTAGCAAACATAAAAGCTAAAGAAGATTTTGTTCTCATTTCCATAATTTCTAATGAGAGTGAAAAGATAGAAGAGGCAAAACCATTTTGTTAATTATAATATTGAGTCATCAATGAACAACTCTCATAAAAGTTGAAAAATATTATTTATTGGAAATATAAAAGTAAGAATAACAATGGACAATGTTTGGACAAGTTACTATAAGACTTGTTCCCATATGCTCATTTTGAAAAAATTCAAATATGAGAGTTCATATTTATATGGTCACCAATGTTTATATTTATACTCGTACCTGCTGAAACATAAAACATAATCTGTTCACTTTATATTGAAGGAAAAATTATATTAAACTGAAAATATATCTGAATCCCTTTTCATTTTATTTGTTATAACAATCCCCAACAAGTCCATAACTATATAGATGTAACTGTTTGTACCAATCACTAATTATTTTTGCGAATCTTTATTTAAAACCTTGAACACTACCTTAAATTTTACATATTTTGGTAAAAGTACAGTTTCTTTATTAAGACTTTTAGCCTTATTAATTTACTTGTTTCTTAAGAAATAAATTAGGGAGTGCATGATTACTAATATATGTTCTATTCTTTTCGTTCTATATTATAAAAAAAATTAGTTTTTAAATTTATTGAATAATTAATATATCTGATTTATATATAGACCAGATATATTAATTATTCAATAAAATTTAAAAAATAAATTTTTCTTATAATATGAAATTATAATATAGGACCGAGAGAATATATTTTTTATTTGATAATCAATTTCAACTTACAAGAAAGGATCTTGATTAACAATATAAATAACATTATTAAATTTAAGAAATTTTATGAATTTAAAGCATGATAATGGTCTACTTTTTCATATCCACCGTGAAATGCATGCAGTTATCAATAGACAAAAAAAAATCATGGTATACTCTCATCAGGTGAAGAATTCAGTGCTACAATTGTTGTTGATTTAGGCACAGTAGGATCACCAGCCATAGTTATTGATAATTCTGAAGCTGCTACATTTGTTTGAGATAGACGTGGCATCTCATTCTTTTTGCCCCATAAAAAGTAATATAATCCTAGAATGATGAAAATCATGCCCAATAACCTGTAAAATGTTTTTTAAATTAGCAATTTATATATTATTGATTCACAAATAAAAATCCAATTTAATATTCTCTCTACCTTTATAATGATTAACACGCCTTGTTAAGTTAGTTTGTAAGTTAAATAATTATAAAAATATAAAATAAAATAAAAATCCTCCAATAATTATTATGATAGAAACTGAAATGAAAAAAAAAAAGTCTAACAGAAACTAAAATTGAGTTCTATATATTCTTTGATGCAAAACTAACTAATGATTAAGTAGATTTACTTGTACAAAAAAATTCCCTTATTAACTAAAAAACTTTGTTATTACGTAATAGTACTTGTTGAATATTAAATGCAATTGTTTAAAAATTAGAATAAACTTGAAAATCCAACTAATTTATCTCAATAGAACTAGTTGAATATTAAATGCAATTGTTGAATATTTAAATTTTAAAATATCTGTATATATTTATTTTGTTTACATGATTTAATCACGATAGGACTAATTGAATAATAATTAAAGTATTATTAGTTTAATCTTTTATTTATTTTGAAAACACTGACTAAATATGAACAATATTATATTCATCTATAGCTTTGTTATTCCTAACCATCGACTCATACTTAGCATTAGTTATCATATAAACTAAAACAATATTTATTTTATTTTTGCACTCAAGATATCCCCTTAGATATCCCCTTCCTTGGAGCAAAAGACAAATAACTCAAACACAATGATTCCTTTAAACGATGGATATTTTCTAATTAATATCATTTATATATAATCGAACTTACAACTGAAGCATTAATCACATGTTTAACAATAATTAAATTCCAATATTATTACACCATATTAATATTTATTAGTATGATTTATTATAATGTGTTGGTGCACAAAGAAGAGATGAAAGACAAAAGAAAATATATTTAATGACGGCTACAAAATAAAAGAATAATGATTTACGATGAATTACATTGAGCTATCTCACTATGCTATTTATGAACAAAATAAAATCCTAAATATTCTCTAACAAAGATATAAAAAGATATAATAATATCTTCTAAAAAGATATTTTTAAAATATAGATTAATATCCTAAATATATTCCTAAAATATAGATTAAATCTAACATGATCCCTTAATTATATTTTATCCAAAATTGACAACACCAATTTCATCCCTCAAGCGAAGAAATTGATCAGTCTTGATAGTCTTTATTAGAACATCTGTCAGCTGCTTCTGGGTGCTACAGTGCACAACTTCTAATATTCCGCTCTAAACTTGATTCCTCAAAAATGATATTTGATCTCAATATGCTTGTTTCTCCCATGCAGCACTGGGTTCTTAGCGAGATTAATTGCAGACTTGTTAACAATCATCAGCTTCAGAGGTTTGGCTACTTCAATCTTCAGATCTTGTAACAAGTTCAGAATCCACACAACTTGACATGTAGTCACAACGCCTGCAATATATTCAGCTTCGCAGGTTGACAGCGCAACAACATGTTGTTTCTTGGAACACCAAGAAATAGGACTTCCCAGAAATTTGAATAAGTACCCAGAAGTACTTCTTCTGTCCACTTTATCTCTGCACCAATCAGAGTCTGAATAACTCATAAGTTCTTATTCGATCTTTCTTCCAGACGGAAATAGCACTCCGTACTTCAGAGTTCCCTTTACATACCTCAGAATCCTGACAGCAGCTTGATAATGAGACCACTTTGATTTACTCATAAATCTGCTAACTATTCCAACTGCGTAGCAAATATCAGTAGGTGTGATAGAAACTTTGGAATTTTCTAGCTTAAATCTCTTCAGAAGCTCGAGTTCATACTACATCTGATGCAAAATGATTCCCTTCTCAAAATATATAAATTTCATCCATAGAAAGAAACTCATTTTCCCAAGATCTGTCATCTCAAACGCATTCATCAGAACTTTCTTGAACTCAGTTATCTCTTGTTTAGAACTTCCTGTGAGTAATATGTCATCAACATACAAACAAACCAGGATCATATTACCTTCTGAAGTATGCTGAACATAAACACCATACTCCATCTCACACTACTGAAACCCTTGTTCCTTGAAAAATGAATCAATCTTCAAATTCCAAGCTCTGGGCGCTTGCTTCAATCCATACAAGGCTTTGTGTAATTTGAACACCATCCCTTCCTGGTTTTTTCCTCAAATCCAGGAGGTTGTGATACGTATACCTCTTCTTGTAATGGACCATTCAAAAATGAAAATTTTACATCTAAGTGCATTAGAGGCCAATTCCTGTTAGCAGCTATTGCAATCACTAGTCTGATTGTTTCATGTCTCGCTACAGGTGTAAACACTTCAAAGTAATCCAGCTCAGTCTTCTGTGGAAAGCCTCTTGCTACTAATCTTGCTTTGTGTTTGCCAATTGATCCATCTGGCTTTAGCTTTTGCTTGAAAACCCATCTGACGCTAATGGCTTTCTTGCCTTTTGGAAGTTCTGTCAGCTTCCAAGTCTTGTTTCTCTCTATAGCATTAAGTTCTTCTTTCATGGCCTGTTACAAAACTTGCTGCTTAAGAGCCTCTTTCGTACTCACGGATTCAGAGTCTACTAACATTGAACACTGAATAACTTCTCCTTCATAATCTACTTCCATGTCTTGCAACATGTCAAACTCTACAAATCTTCTTATGATGCTTCTGACTCTTTGTTGCCTCTGAACTGGACCTTCAGAACTTTGGACACCAGAACTTTTCCCTTCAGAAGCACTTGCTTCAGAAATTGGACTTTCTCCATAACCTTGACTGTCTTCAGAGTCTGGATCACCATCGAAGTCAGAGTCAGAATCATCTTCTCCTTATGTATCTTATTCATAGTCAAAGTCTTTACTAGCTTCGGAAACATGTGTTTCTGACTTTTCTTTAGGAGTTCTCTCATCAGAGTCGGGAAGATACCTTTCCTAATTCCAAACTTCTGATTCCTTTACAATAACATCTCTGCTGAACTCAACTTTATTAGTTTCTGGACAATAAAGTTTGTACAAAACTGTACTGTGGTACCCCACCAGCAACATCACTTTACTTTTATCATCCAACTTCTGTCTTCTGGCTTCTGGGACATGTTTGTAACATACAGAACCAAACACCTTCAGATGACTAACAATTTGCTTATCTCCAGTCTACTTCTGAATAGGAACTATTTCCTTCAATTTCTTCGTTGGACATCTGTTGAGAAAATAACATGCAGTTGCAACAGCTTCTCCCCATAGAGTATGAGGAAGCTTCTTCTCTTTCAGCATTCTTCTCACCATATCAAGCAAAGTACGGTTTCTTCTTTTAGCAAGACCATTGTGTTGATGAGTATAGGGAGCAGTAACCGCATGCTCAATTCCATTCTCCTCACAGAATCTTCTGAATTCTATGGAGTTATACTCACCACCACCATCAGTTCTAAGAATCTTCAGAGTCTGGCCACTCTGATTCTCAACCTTCAGTCTGAACTTCTTGAATTCAGAAAACACCTCATGTTTAAACTTTATGAGAGATACCCATGTCATTCTGGTGAACTCATCAACAAATGACACAAAATATTTATTCCCTCCAGTTGATGCTACTGGAAAAGGACCGTGCACATCAGAATGCACTACTCCCAAGACATGTTTTTCTCTTGGAGCTACTTCTGATGCAAATGGTAATCTTGGTTGCTTCCCTTCTATGCACACCTTGTATGAATTTCCAGGCTTCTTGATTGTAGGAATTCCATGTATCAGATTCTTTGATTTCAGATGCCCTAAACTTCTGAAATTCAGATGACCAAATATTTTGTGCCAAAGCTCACTCTCCTTGACAACAATTGTTGCACTAAGACATTCAGAGTCTGCAGTTCTAACATTCACCTTGAATGTTCTATTTCTTCCCTGTTCTGACTCCATAATCAGCTTTTGATTACAGTCATACAGCTTCAGAATATTGTCCTTCAAGGTAACTGAAAAATCTTTCTCAATCAGTTGTCCCACACTCATCAGATTGATTTTCATGCCAGGTGCATACCATACATTCTGGATCGTTGCTGCTTTCTCATTGTTTAGAATGATTCTGACATTTCTCATACCTTCTGCATTGAGGTATTTATCATCAGTACATCTGATCTTTGTACTCTTCCCAGAGTCAAAATCAACCAACCATTTCTTGTTTCCAGTAAGATGGTTTGAACATCCTGTGTCCATATACCACCATTCTGATGCATTCAGATCATCAGGTTCAGAAGCCAACAATAACATAGGTTCATCATCTGACTCTCCTCTGGATATATTTGCTTCTTCTGACTTCCTTTCTTTATTTAACCATCAATCTTTTGCATAGTGACCAAAGTTCTTGCAAAAGTAACACTGAATATTCTTCTTGTCAGACTTCTTCTTTCCCTTTTGGATATTCTTCTGCCTATCAGAGTTTGAAGCTTCTGACCTTTGACCACCCTTAGTTTTCTTCCTGGCTTCTGACCAAGTCTGTTTCTGATACTTCTTACTAGAAGTTACTTTCAGAGCCTGCTACTCTATTTCCCTCTCAGAAGTTCTCACAGTCATACGCAACTTATGCGCCTCTAGACTACTTTGCAGCGCTTCAACTCTCATATGCTCAGATATTTGGAATGTTCAATTGCTACCACAATGTAATCAAACTGAGAAGTTAAAGATCTCAAGATATTCTCAATGATTATTTGTTTAGAAAGAGTTTCTCCACAAGCTTTCATCTCATTAGTGATCAGAATAACTCTAGAGATGTACTCGGAAACCTTATCGTTGTCCTTCATGTTGAGATTTTCATATTGTTTTCTGAGAGACTGAAGCTTCACCTTCTTCACAGATGCGACACCACCGTAACATCTGACCAGTGTGTCCCACACAACCTTTGTTGTTTCAGAATCAACAATCTTCTCAAACACGTTTGCATTCACACATTAATGGATGTAGAATAACGCCTTTTGATGTTTCTTCCTTAGCGCCCTATGTGTTATCTTCTGTGCCTCTGTTGCGTCTGCTTCTAACAAATCATAGTCATCGGTGACAAGATCTAACACATCTTGAGAACCAAATAACACGCACATCTGGATCTTCCAACGATTCTAGTTTTTACCATCAAATACTGGAAGCTTGGAATGGACATTGTCGCTGTTTCCGTTCATCTTCTACCTTGTGCAATTTACGCAGAAACTCAATAAAACAGTGTTTCCCAAATCCCCAAAATCAGAAACAACGATTATCACACAACACCTCACTGTTCTCTCGTGATTCCCTTTTTCCCGTGGATTTCGAACCAGAGCTCTAATACCAATTGTTGGTGCACAAAGAAGAGATGAAAGACAAAAGAAAATATATTTAATGACGGCTACAAAATAAAGAATAATGTTTTACAATAAATTATATTGAGCTACCTCACTAGACTATTTATACACAAAATAAAATCTTAAATATTCTCTAGTAAAGATATAAAAAGATATAATAATATCTTCTAAAAAGATATTCCTAAAATATAGATTAATATCCAAAATATATTTTTAAAATATAGATCTAACATAATGCACCTACTTATAATAAAAGTATTTAATTTAGTCTTATAAAATAATTACGTGATAGGAGAAGCAGAAGTCAAATAGGGAAAAGCAAAAAAGTAAGCTACCAATTTAAAGGATAAAATGAAAATTGTTAAAATGTGAAGGTGAAAAGAATTCATACGTTCCAATTCTTAGTGGTTCGCCCAGTACAATAGCCTCTGATATTGCAACAAAAACTAGAGCAAGTGGATTGAACATTGGAGGATAAGTAGGTCCCTTAATTGTAATTGTCCATGATAGTAAGCAAAAAGTAGCAGCAGTAGCCAATGCTCCCTACATAATTAAATCTAACTCATTAGTGTTCAAGTTCTCATTGAGAGAACATTACCCAAAAAATTAAAGAAAAGAGTTCATAACATTTAAAGTCAAATTAGTATTTTTAATGTTATTTTAGTGACAGGGTCAATGCAATTGTTTTAGAATATAAATTAACAAGCTTGAGATTTGAATTGTTTGAGATCCAACAAGTCTTAAATAGTTTAATTCACTTAATGTATAATTTAAAGTAAAAACTATACAATAAAAATAATCTTACCGAGTATAGTATAGTAATAAGTTGTAGATTCCACTCTAACCTCCAAGATTCTTTACTAGAATTTATGAATGTACCGATTACTGCTGACTGAATTGCGGCCATAATGCATGATAGCATTGTTCCCCAATACATCAATGGAAATACTTTAACCAACTTAACCTATTTATATTTTAAACCATACTAGTTATTTGTCTCACAATAAAAATTTAAAACATAAAGTGTCCCTAAAATTGTGATTAATTCGTTAAAATATTGTTTGTATAAATTGAATTTTTTTAACCATGAGAAGTAATTACTTAAGTAATATAGAACACCATGAAATGTTAAAATTCATAGGGTATTTATGGTTCCAAATCATATTCACTAAGAGAATGGAGAGTATTATATATGATGCTTCATATTTAAATAAAAATATATATATTAAATTAATTGAAAAAAATTTAAAAAATAAACACATGGTATCATATGCTCTATATAGAGATTCTATAATATTAACTACCTAAATAATTATTAACAACCACAATTTATTTAGTTGAAATTACTAACTAATTTTTTAATTGTGTCCAATCAAAAATCGCATGTAATGTGAGTTTATTTCATCATGTAATTTATAACAATAATAAAATATATATATATTGTTTAAGCCAAAAAAATGTTTAAATATT